AATAACAATTCCTTTTATCATTTAAATATTGCAATATGCACTCTGCTTATATTTTCTACATTTTTATACATTACGCGCAATGTATAGCACATTTTTGTTTTGCATATTCCCTTTTCTTATAAATGCATAAAATCCGCAGTCTAGCAATAACTTTTTTAATAGCCTCGGAAAATTCTTAAAATTTTGCACAATGTGTTATTAACATAATATTTAATAACTGTTAAAATTCCAATGCATTGTCACTGTCTTTTATTCAAAGGCTCATACGACCTTCTATTAAATTGCACGACGTTAATACGTCTTGATATTTCTAACTGAACTTTGACGTGGTCGTTGGTGACGAAGGAATTTCATTGGTCAGACGGGAATGCCTTTATCACTCAAGGATTGACATTTCGTTGTAGTCGACGTAATGCTTTTAACGACGGAGCTGGCGAAGATTTATGAACAGAATATGCCTGCTGAGGATGGTTAGGGAATTTTGGAAATGGACGTATGCTTCGGATTCCACAGTTCAGTGGCAATCAAACACTGCTACGTCAAGTACACAAATCCACACTATTTACCACAAGAATTCCAACATGTCACTTAATTCTGTCGTATTTGAAAACAATTTTGAATCCTTGCCGCACGATTCGTGATTTGAATTTTGAATTAAGCCTGAATACCATGAGTCGAATTTGTGATTATAATTTTTATGCCAAACGTGGATATCAGAATAGAGACTCGTGGTCAGAATCTCATGTCCAACGGGCATGTCCAAAGTCCAAACACCGGTGGAAAGCTTATGCTCTTCTATCATATTATCTTATCTCTGGCCACGCGTGGGTTAATGCATCGAGTTTGAAGATGGTAAACTGTAACTTAAAATTGTTTTCATTATACAGGAGTTTTAAATTACCGTGAGAAATAGATGGTTTGTAAAAACGGAAGGGAAACGGGTTTCTCTTCCGAAGGAGAAACTGCGGCATTTTTCAGTCCATCCCCTCGATTAATTGTTTTTATCGGGAATCCGCGGCGGGGCTAATCCGTCCTTGATTAAATCCATCTCCAGTCTATTCGTACTCGCCTTATCGCGATGAATCTGGCGAACCTCTTCCCTCTTGTGTATTCAGGCTCACGGACGAGCTAAGAAAAAACGGTTGAGAAGATGGTAATAAAAGAACCGGACGGGAGATGAATCCGCCAAACGGCGGAGCTTCTCTCGACTATGAAGAGGGACAGGAGAGGGGAGAAAAAAAAGGATCGGACAATTATTCGCTGCTAGCCTGTAATTACGCCGGTTAACAAGGGTGAACGACTCGGCTGCCGGCGGTGTGTATCCACTCGGCGCTGTCCGCTCATTACGAATTATTAGCCCGGCCTGCGAGAGGCACAGGTGGATAATTAAAACAGGTGTCACCAGAGCGGCGCGCGGTAGGGGAAAATAGAATAGGGGTTGGCAAGAGTTGGGAGCCAGTCCGCAAAGGGGATCAACAACGACCGCGGCGTAGCTACAAGCTGTTTCTGCTCGTGCCAGAAAGGAGAAAGTAGCGGAGGGGAAAGGGTAAATAGGGTCGCGTAGGGTGAGGGTAAGGAAGAAAAGCAGAGAGAGGGTGGAAACGATCGGAGGGACGAAGTGAGAGAGAGAGAGAGAGAGAGAGAGAGAGAGAGAGTGAGAGTTTGCTGCTGGGGCCGTGTTAGCTTCTACACTTAATCACTTTTGCTAATTGTAGAATGATTGCTCCGCGCTTGAAGTTTCAATAATGGGGTTGTTACACCCCCTCCGAGAGAGATAGGGGCGGTCTCGTAACCGGTTATACACCGAGCCGAGGCTCTCCAGTTATCACCCTTTCTCCTGTTATCTACAGCCACCCTCTTACGTTCGAGCCAGTTCCTCCGTTCACTTTCAACCACCGTACCATTGCGACCCTCCTCGTCCTCAGCGCGGGGTTTCCTCGAAGAACCTGATGAATGCCATAATAGTCCGCCCGCCTTCGGGTGATAAGAAAATAATCATTCCATCTGGCCGCCGTTATTCCATTAACCCGAGGTTCTCCGAACGAACTATTTCCATCCTTAAAATTGCCGGAGTCTACGCGATAGGCTCGAGCCGTCGCTAGAGGAACTGTCCGACTCATCAACGCGCTAATTATGCAATTATATCGGCGGCGGGGGCGGACGACGTCGGCGGGAAAATGAAATTCCTCGGCGAGCCGGCAACGACTGGGTTGCGTTATAAATATTGGGGTTAATGTTGCGTTCGTTTGACAAATAGTCGACTGGACGCGATACAACTCGCGAGATACTATAAATCCTGTCAGCTGTGCTTTTAAACGTGCCGACGCGACGCGACGTCCCGACTGTTTCACCTCCGCCGTTAGGCTTTCATCAAACATGCTTCATTCTACGAAACAGAATGTTTGTTCTATCGTGCTTTAAACGAATTATGCATGAAACGAAGATAAGACAGCTATGGTTGTTCGTCGAATCTTTGGTGTAATACATTCTGCATTTCGCATTTCTGCATTTCTGCATCGCAACGAACTTTCTGGGAAATCTAATATTATGCTTCAGATGAATTAAACCGAATGGAACGAAAAAGAAAATATATATTTTATGTGGAAGATATAAGTGGCTTCAGAGGACGGTTCACGTATCGTATTCCATCTGAAGAAACATGGTTTAACTTTGATTCATTCGAAAATAATACATTTCGCCAATCTTATCTTATCACAATGTTCATAAGCAAATGCAAGTCACATTTTGGATTTTTAGTACTCATTGTAGGTTTCTTATATGGTCTTCAGGCTCTTAATTGAAAATGTCCTAAACATCTTCTGACTGTTTCAGCACTAATATGCTGTTATATATGTTAAAATAACGTCTGTTGTTCATAAAACTGAAGGAAACAAAAATACTGATAAGACTGTCTTAGTTTATATTTAATAGCCGAAGGTTTGAGTTTAAGCAAGCTTTACATACAGAGTGTATTTCACTTACAAGTTGCAAACCCCAATTCCAAAAAAGGGCACTAAATGAAAATAATGACGAAAACCATTTACATATAAATATATAACCGAAATTAAAATTGGTCGCCTTAAAGTTATGACCAATACTGTATATACGTAAAATAAAGATGAGAATGTCTCGGCACACTTCCGGTTGGAAAACCGCGACGGCGTGTATGGATCGTTATAAGAGGAGGCCGGGTCCCTTTGTGTGCGACGCGTCGCGTGCCGTCACGGTGGCAAATTTCCTTGCTGACGTGCCTCCCGCGTCGGTTATACGAGTTGTTTATACGAGCAATAATTTATTACTTACCCCTGTACGACACGCGGCCCGGGATCGTTAATATCATAGACGTCAGAACGCTGGAAGATTGAGAATGCGAACGACGAGAAATTCTGTCGCGCTTAACCGGATGGACGCGCTTTAATCATTTTATTGCCGTTGTTACGCGACTGAAAAATCGCGTCTGATAGCTCGAGATTGAAAGCTTGTCATCAGTCGAGGAATTTAACGTTTATCATGTCAGATCATCAATTTTATAACAATCATTTTTCTTTTTTATCATTCAAAGAGTCAATAATAATAATAATAATCAGTCATAATGTTGATAATATATGTACTTGGTCTATTTTTATTCAATTATTATTCAATTTTCATGTAAAAAGTCTTCAGTGGAATTAAGTCATGTACAGACTTGTCGATTGCAATTGTAAAATTGATTATCTATTTCGGTATTTACTTAGAAAAAATTACCTCTCGAGGGAAAATAGGATGTATGGACAATCTAATTTATTCCCTTATTAATTCAAGATATATAGATTCGTTAAATAAGATATTCTTGGCATCGGTTTCGGAGCAGCCATGGAAGAAGTTAAATTTCTCAGAGGAGACGCGGGTAAATACGAACGAGAAAAGGAGAGAGCGCTTTCCCCGTTGGCTCGTGTCGAAACGAGTTCGAAAGCCCCTTTACCGAATAAAAGTTGGCGGGGTGCAGGCTGGGTTCCGGCGACGCCGGCGCCGCGCAACTCACCCGGAAAAGTTGAAATTATAAAAATTTCAAATTTCCAAACGGTTGACAGACGACAAGACGGCGATTCGCGGTCGCCTGGGATAGCCACGCTCGCTCGCGGTTCCCCGCCGTCGACTTTGCCCAACTTTCTTCCCAGGAAAATTGGAAACCTGTGAAAAAAATATCGTCTCCCCTGCTACCAAAACCGATTGTGATATCGGCTAACAGATCGATGGTACAGCCTTAAATTCTCAATAGGCTTCACACAAGAGTTTTATAAGCCGCTTATTTCGAAAGTATTTCGTTTATTTTAAAATTACGATATTTAAGGATTCAGGTTTTAATAAATTTAACAATAATGATAACTGATAACGTGGTAGTATAATAGCTTCTTATGTTTCTAAGGGTGTATAACTTATCAATCTGATTAGCATAATAAACATTGTTTAAAAAATAATGTATTGTTGATGAGAATAAATGGTCTTAAGCCACTTTCAAAATTAATATTGTAATTCTTAAAGAAACATAAGTGCATGGAAAAGAATCTCCCTCGAAATAAAAATAGACATGTATAATTTTATATTATAAAATTAAAGAATATCCAATTTTTCTTTGATATTAAACAAATGTTATATTAAAATTAATAATATTTCGCAATTAATTACTCATTGTTCTTCAATTTGCGTATTCGGGAGAGATTAAAAATAATTATGGTGTGCCGATGGTACATAATATAATAAATCCATTAAATTGTATTTTAGCAATGCGATTGATCTTGTTTTCTCATACTGTCAACTAATTTTTTAACTATTTGATTATTTACCATTCTTTAACATCCGAAATGTTTACAAAATAAAAAAATGGCCTAAAGAAGTTGAATCACTCGGGTGTGTAATTCCATAATGCGATGGTTAGCTTCATGCGATATGTAAGGTTTCAACAAAAGTAACTAAAGTGCATCACACAAACGTTAAAACGTCGATTCTCGTTTTGCTTACAGGTCCTGCGTTTTGGGGTTTGATAAACCCGCAGTGGTCTCTGTGCAGCAAAGGAAGGAGACAGAGCCCTATCAACATCGAGCCTGACAAGCTCCTCTTCGACCGCCACTTGAGACCCGTGTTGGTCGACAAACACAAGGTAATTTATCCACGGTTTTTATTCTATCCTCTCTCTCTCTTTCTCTGTGCATTTACTCTCTTCGTTGCGGCGCTTTAACTTCGGAGAGTACTCAAAAGTAAAGAAGGGATTGAATAGCGAATCGAGGCAACTCGGAAACTCTTATTGTCACGCTTTCGCTTTAACGAAGACAAAGGAAAATCGTTTTCGCAGCCAGTATTCTGGTTCTCTACAGAATTTCCAGATTCACGATTATTTATTTCGAGTACGGGAAAATGAATATATTGATTTCAATCGATATCTCAGTACCCACTAGTAATAAATAAGCATACAAATTTATTTTTTTAAAACGAAAGACAGATAAAAAGGAGTAAAACTTAAACGTGATAGTACAAAAAAAAACGTGCATTCAAATATTAATAGCATTTTGAATATTTTTTAAAAGAAGGATAGATACGTAAAATAAAACAGGATAAACGCAATGTGGCTCAACTTGCAGATAAAGGAAATAGGTTCGAAAAGAAATTAACATTTTTCCGATGATTTATCTCACTCCGTATAGAGTCGTATCGTATTGAACCGTGACTAGCTGTGCTTCAGCTATTCCCAGTGCTATCGCCGGCTAGAAATAGATTTCGAATTCACGGCGGACCAGCCTTCATTTTTCACGAGACCTCGTTAATTCGATAATAAATCCATTAATTACCCGGGGTTGTCTATTTAACAGTCACCTTGATCGACTCCGATACCCTTAAGGCTGCGAAAACAGTAATCTTTCATTGACATCTATCTATCTATCGCCCTGATTAAATTTTTATAACTATCGGTAAAGTAATATATAATAGAAAAGTGATTATTAAGCTGAATGTAATTTGAATTTAAGCTGAGAAAATAAAATATGAAGTAAAAATTGAGATGCAGGTTGTCACTAGTTATTAAGGTTGTATGAGCCGTAAGATCTCTGCCAAAAGTTTAAGACATTTAATAAAAAGCTGTCTCCAATAGATAATAGAAGCGATGAACTTTTAGAAAAAATGATAATTACAGAGGAGTAAAGTTTATAAAATTGTTTGACCTATTTTTCTTGGCCATAAAAATTTCTTAACAGAATTATAATACATAGTTGTTGCATTTTTTTATTTAATTGTACCTGACTTGCAACTGTCTACATTATCTATAAGTATTTTGTTTACTATTTATTGTCTATCAAACAATAGTCTCGAAATTGACATTATTTCAATTTTAAAATATTCTTTAATCATGTAATAAAATTATACAAAATTCTTTCATTATTGCATTTATATTTTTTTATAAATGAAATCAAAATTCTGTCATGGGTTCATCCAAGATATGCGAGAACTGCGAATTGAAATTGAACTGCATAGTCACTAGCTATGACTAGCAGTTTGTGGCATAACAAATCAATGAATATCAACGGTTAACCGCTGCGTAACGAAGAAAATAAAAAAAAAAACAGAGAGGGGAAAAAAAATAGGTGATCATTGATTTCGCAGATGCGGCGATAAAAACAGGGTCGGTTTTCAGTGTCGCGTCATTCGTTTCGCTTGGTTCCGCTTTTCGTTCGTTTTATATCGAGCCCGCGAAGGGAGGGAGTGGATCGCGTGCGTGGAAATTAACGCGACGGCCGATTTACGGCGTACCCCCTTCGTTTCCCGCCGGGAAATTGATACGCGTCGAGTCACGTAAATATTGTAAATCTCGTCGATGCGACTTGCGAACAACGCCGCCCGTCCCGCCGCCGTTGATTAATCGTCAGCGCTTTATAATTAATGAACGGCCCGGCTATTCTATTCCACAGAAATAAACATTTTCATATCTGAACGCGTGGCCAGATGAAAATCGCTATGATCATTTCGATCCATGTTAGCTCGCCTAATCATGTGTTTACACTCCCTGACATGAAAATCACATCTGTACTATTTTCAGTTTCTCGTGTTAGGATTATACTAGCGTGGAATGACAAACTGAAATATTAGTTAGTTAATTTTATTATTAAGATTGCATATCAACTGCAAGAGTCATTAGGACGATGATTATACATTACACAGAGTATAAATTAATCCATTGCTTAGCAAAGTTAAATAAAAATTAAATATGGTCGTTATAACAGTTTATAAATTCTAATATGTTTGAAGAATTTTAATATCATAGCACATGAATTCACGCATGCAATAGGCAATATATTCTCTATAGTCATTGCTGATATTAACACTAGAAAGACTGAAACTTAGTATATACCTATATTGCCCAAAAGCAGTCAAAATGACTGCATTGTGAAAGAATAATGTGTAAAGAGATTGGTCTAAAATTAATTTTTAATATTTTTTATATTATGTGCAGTCATATAACAAGTTATTAGTAAATGTTAACAATAAAAAAAAAATTTACTTCACTTGGAAAAAAATAATTTATGCATTATTATTTGTACATTTGCCCAAAAGCAGTCAAAATGACTTTCTTGGGCAATCTAGTGTTAGACAGTAATAATGTGCAATATTAAATTTGGCACACTGCAGCAAAATTTTAATAGTATGTATTACATAATATATAGTAGTAAATTAATCTAAACGCATTTAATAGAAATAATCAATCATTTCAAGCGTGGAATTTTGATATGAGAAACGGAAGATCGAGCGAGGTGTTCCATTCGAGGCAGGCGTTTCCCCATTGAAAAATAGACAATCTGAGCGGCAAGTTCCGGTCGTTACTCGGCTCGGACGAAAATCGGACGTTCTGCTCACGTGCCGGCAATCTGCCTGTCAGCTGAGAACGCCACGTGATTCGTTTCTATATCGGCGGTCCGCGCCTGCGACCCGACCCGAGTTTAGCACGTTTCGCGTAACAAACGAAAGGTCCTCGTCGTCTTTGAGACGCCTCGGCGCGTCGCCTTTAACGAAAATCGTACAAAGCGCACGTGGCGACGAACGCGAAACTTTCTTTTGAACAGCTCTCTGCGCATCGATGAAAAATGAAAAATCGACGGTTCACTTGTCATCGTTTGAAGTTGCCCTCTCGTGCTCCCTGTGCAGAATTGCGCAATCATTTCGTGAAACAAGTTTCCAATTAATCGTGTGAAATAGCAACATACATTCGGTCGTTTCGTTTCCGTATCGAATTAACGTAACGCTTTTCATAAATTGACATTCTTGAATTTGTACAATTTTAGACAATTTGAATCGTGTTTCGACCGCTCGGGTCTTTAATTGAAATCAGATCGTTCGTTCACCGACAATGAAAACGATCGGCTTTCGCTCATTGAAATTAACCGGTCGATTTTTAATTCCATTTTTATTTTTTTTTTTTCTCCCAACGCCGGAGAACGGTTCGGTTCCCCGATCGGGATTACGAATTAATTCACTTTGGCAACTTTACTCGGGTCTCGTTTTCCCGGCATCCTTGTAATAAAACCGGAAATCGGATATTTTTCAAACGGGCGACGCGCGTGTACCGTTACGAACGACGGCCCATTTGCATTTTAATGCGGGGACGGTGATTTTATTTCGACGACGTCGTCGTTCGCGCGCGAAACCGGCTGCTACGTGATTGAAAAATACGAAACGTATTAATACACCCGTGCATGTTAATCGGCGCGGCTGCGTTGTAATAGAATGAAAGAGAGAGAGAGAGAGAGAGAGAGAGAAGTTTTCAATGCCCGGCCGGCCGATTGCAAGCTTGGACGGAGTTAAAAATTCACGCGAACGTGAAAACGTTTTATTTTTTATCTCGTGACAAGTTGCAAGGTACGTGAATTTTTAACAATTATTTTGCCAGAAGATTTATGCGATTGCAATTACTGTAGTCGGTAATCAACGACGATTTCCTTTGAATAATGCAATAGGAAGCTGCGAGCTTTGAAACAAACAATCATTTCGCGATTGAAAATTCCGGCAGAATTAATTGGCGCTGGGTAAATTAATGAAACAATTCGAGTCATTCTTGAGACATTACGAGTTTCCATTTATCTCGTTTCCAAACAAGACAATCATATACAATGGCGATGTTCTATTATTGAAGTAACGAGATGCAACGTGTTCCCTGTTTCGTATTTCCGAGACGGAAACAAAGGAGGCTAATAAAAATAATTCCGCAACAGCCGCGTGGTTCGATGATTAAACGAACAGGTCGGTTTCCCTTTTCGCGGTGGCCCATTGTTTCCAGTTACAGGCCCGCCAACCTCGGTACTTCAAACGGGACGGAGGCCGCGTCATTTTTGAGTTTATCAAACAATAACGCTCGGGCGTCGAAGTAGCTTTCGTAGCAAACACTCGTTGCCGGAGTCTGAAAGTCTCGTTGTTTCCTCCTCCCGGCTTCGTTTCTTCTTGTTCTTAGCCCCGCTGGCTTCGCTCCCGCCTACTCCATCATCTCGCCGTGTTGCGATTCTTTCCTCGCGGCTCGAGTTTCGAGACTTTTGTTCCTTTATTATTCCAACCTTCGCCGTTGATGAAATAATTGAAACGGTTTACAGGTACCTGCCGCTTCTCGTAGTGTTTCAATCGTTGCATCGACTGGCTTCTTTCACTCGATTTCATTAATTAATTAACATTGCGTAAGTCGAAGTCTACACTAGATTTACAGAACCCGTCAATGTGACGGGTTCTCGATTTTATACTTAAAAATTCTCAACATGCAAATATTATTATTTGTTGGTTGTTATAAAGTCAAAGGCAAAGATCATCTTAAAGCATTCCTAGAACCGTATTATTTTATCTAGAAACAAGAACTTCCGGTCGAACCGTTAACAGCAGAGTAAACTGATCAAGCTTGACGATCCACCTTGTTTAAAGAAGACAGGGCTTTATAACGTGAAACAGATTCGTAAGCCCGTGGCAAGGAGAATCGTAGAGGGACGCGTTCCTTTTTTCACCGAGTACCGATTGTCTAGCTTAAACAACGCATGTGACGCCGGTTAACCGGCGGCGAGCCGAAGCGAGAGGAACCGGCGAGGCTGTTCGCTTCCCCTTGGGACGCTTTTGTGCCGCCGGCGCGGGGATCGGGCCGAG